GGGGTTTAACAAATTAGATTCATTATGTAGTATTTGTCAGGTCCCATGTTGATATTTACCAGGTGAACACTCATAAACATATACACACCTTTTGACATTTCCAGACTTCGTGACCGACTGACTGACTGAATCAACGTAGAAACTCCTACATAAGTGCATCGACTTAAGTTGCCACACTTCACAGAAGTACACAAAGAACAAGTGGACAGAAAAGCAGTGATATCAAAGTAGATAAAGTAGTGTGAGAGGACAAACTATCGGAAGATAAAGGTAAGTGTGAGTACTCATGCTTTAGAAGATGTCAAGGAGTGAATATATTGGTGCGATTGTGACCGGTTTTCAGCCGTGTCACCATTGATTCCCATCACCTCCAAGACCACAGTCCGGTAGTCTACATTTCCACACGACTCAGACCAACAGTAAGAGACTCATAGACCAGTGCCACGTTTTGGTCTGGTCACCCTAAACCCTCTTTCGACCTAATCAACTCCCCCCAGTATCCCACGTCGAGGTAGGAGGTTATTCCGCATGTACAGTGCATATCGAAGCCATCTACGTCGACTAAGGTTCACAGCCTCATCAATCGACCTGCCTGTCTTGCTTGGTACCTTTCCCCAAACCTCAACATTGCTCATACGGTGACTCCACCAAACACGAGCAATACTACGAAGACATCTGTGATCGAAATCCAGCCGTCACTTCATGTCTTCCACTTTTAACGACCATGTCTCACAATCATATAACAGGACAGAACAGATTGCATCACAGTACACCCGTCGTTTGATAGATACTCGGATATCTCTTCAGTTGGCACCACAGGTGACGCAACTTGGCAAATGCTGATCGGGCCTTCTGAATCCGAGCTGAGATCCGTCAGCGACAACCTCGTTCGAGCAGATGCAACTTACCAGGTAAGTGAAGTGGTCGACTCATCGAACCACTTCACCCCTTATCATTAAACTGCGAGTACTTGCAGCCGACGAGTCCTGGGGCATCATCTCACATTTGACAGGTACCAGTGAGACACATGCCAAATATTCTCAGATTTCTACTCATACGGCCAGAAGGCCCTCCATTTCGTCAGAATCTTCACCTAGCAAAACAATATCGTCTGCATACTCCAAGTTAACCAGGTGATATCTAGGGAATAGATCAATCCTTGTGGAATCAGGCGTAACTAAGGCTATGTCCACTACCACGTCAATAATGAAGTCGAATAGAAACGGCGATAGTGGACATCCGTGGCGAACACGACCAGCTGTCATCAGTTCACGTGACAACTCTCCATAAGCCCTAATACGGCTGCGTGACCTCGAGTAGACAGCTCTGATTAGCGTTTTATAATTGCTCGGTACTCCCTTCATAGTAGACAGTCAAATGCCCTCTTCAGGTCGACAAATACTGCAAATGTCGCTCGTCGGTAGGTATGTAGTAGGGCAAAAATCTGATCGATGCATCTTCGTCCAACTTTGAACCCCCCCCCGTTCTCTCTAGTTTGTTTTCCAGATCAAGTTAAGTATCAGATAAATATGAACCCTAGGATCTTGGACGCAATACTAGTCAAACTGATTCCCCCATGGTTATCACAAGAACATCCCCGCTTCTTATAGACTGGGATGATCAGTGAAGTACACTAACGTGACGGCACTACCTCTGATTCCCATACAATACCTGATATCTCCATCACTTTCATTAGCAAGTTTCTACCTCCATCCTTGAAAACTTCAGGTGCAGACTGACAGGTCCTGCTGCTTAGTGTCATTTCAGGATTGATACAGCTTTCTCGACTTCATAGAGAGTTAGAGGACCGACATCTACATCCCATTCAGATTCAGGTTAAATGTTGCGCAACTAAAGCGTTGCTGCAGGCCAGTTGAACTGTGCTTCAAAGTGTTCTGTCGAACGTTCTAGTCGCCTGTCCTGAGACGTTATCAGTGTTCCATTTTTTCCGGTGGTGACTTTACTAAATATCATCTTCTTCTTGTTGGTATCATTTGTAGTCCTGAACAGTTGTTTGGCGTTACCCAACGCTCATACCTTCTCCATCTATCTCGTCTTCGTCACACAACACCGCTAGCAATCGACGTGAAGACTTGGTTAACTTATTTTTAAACTGCTTTCAATCTTCATGGTGGTCAGAGCCAGCTGGGATTAGTCATCTCACATCAATCAGTTTCCATGACATCATGGCAATTCATTGACGTTTGGTTACCTTCGTGTGTAGGCCACCAACTGTCTTTACTGCTGTTCCTACAGCAGACTTAATGTCATACCGCGTTTTCTCACGTTCAGATGAAAGCGTAGCTAACTCCTCCCTAAATGCTTGATTGGTATCCCCATCTTTCAAATGAGAATAGATGGGTCGCATTGCCTTTAATTTCCTGTGGTGCAGAAATACACAAGCCCATACTAGCGTGTGATGGGAGTTCAGAAAGATCGGCAATCCACCACCAATCCCCTCCTAAGATGGCTTACTGTAGTATGATCTACGTGTGGCCATCGTTGTTTTCATGTTGGTAGAAGCCAAATGACACTGTCTCTCCTTATGCTTGAAGTTAGTGCTGATCAGAAACAAGTGACTGTTCGAGCAAAATTGCAACAGACGATCAACAGTCCTCGCCTCGTTACAAGGAATTCCGTAAATACCTCCGATATACCTTACTGATTGGCTCAGCCTCCTTACTTTAGCGTTATATTCACCTGCAATTGTGACTACATCTAAACGTTTTCCTATCTGTGGCAAGATTGATAGCTCTTCATAGAATTCATCCTTCGCATCACCAAACTACAGTTGGTGGGTGCATACGCGAAAATTACGAATAGGCACCGCCTAGTCTCACGAGCCTTCCTAGTTCTCACAGATCCATTCAGTCGAACAACAAAAAGGTGGCTGCTTACTGGTATACAGTCGACGACCGCACTTCCTGATCTACAACCCAATGCCAGGCCTACACTAGCGACTCCATGAGAGCTAGTCATTGCGTCTCCGGATACTCGTAAAGTGAATTTTGAAGATTCACAAATAAGGCCAGGTAATGATGAAGTTCTTAGGAGACTAGGAATGAGGTTTTAATACTTTTGATAGTTGGCAGTGCAGAGTGAGAGGTTGAGTAAGGTGTAAGAAGTTGAACATTAGTATCAGGAGGTGAAGACAACAGAGAAGACATAGTTGAGGAGGATAGGTCACGTTTGTTTGGATCTTGCGCACTACTAGAAGAGTGTGGACGGTTGACACTTCCCGGCTAACCACTTAGTGGAAGGCTACTTCTTAAGGTACCTGAAAGTGAAAAAAATGTGTGATCGCAGAGCCTATGGGACATTTGCTTGAGACCGGTGACATGCGGTCTTCCGGTAATTTTGAGATTTTGGCTTTTTGCTTTTGAATCCGACTCTGAATCCCTGTTGCAAGCATCAGCATGCCGAGAGGGTCGGATGTGTAATTTTTGGGTCGACCGTTGGGGAAGGCAGCATCAGCGTAGCGCTGATGGCCATCCAAGGGAAAGACCTTACAGCTACCACACCCCATCCAGCTAGCAACAGTACAACTTCGCCCTAAGACTCCCATCATAGTATAGTAATTTACATTACGACCACTATCCAACAGACGTTTCTAGCACAGTAGGACCTCGACGGAACAAGTGTTCCACCACCACAACTAGTTGGGTCACTATGATATGCAAGCCCGACATCACACCAAGGCAGCAGCTATCCGTCGACGTAAAAATTCGTACCTTCCAAATAAGCACATCAGGTATAAATTGCTTTGAGCATGAAACACACGTGGTTTTTCTGAGGGGATACTCAGAATAATATTGTTTTAAAGCGAAGCTGTAAATGCATCCCTATCGAAGTTGCCCTTAAGTATAAAAGAACACCTAGGTGTCTTCTGAATGTGATATATATATATATATATATATATATATATATATATATATATATATATATATATATATGCATTCATACCTAAACAAGCAGTAAGGATGATGAATGGAAAATTTAAACCATATGACAATTATCTTGTCACTTTGATTTATCACAACTTAAACGTTTTCTTATTGCTTCTAAATCATCTTTACTGAGATTGGAATCCGGTACGATTAAGGTAAACAGACAGACGATAAAGGCAGTGATAAGTTAGTAATAAGTGAACCTTTACAATGGTTTACGGTTGACTCAGGTTGCCTTGAGCTTAATATGTCAACATAAAGAGAAACTGCAACGATAATGCACTAATGCAAACTGCCATACTTTCAATATCACATGAAAAAAGAGAAAAAGAAACAAGTACGAAGTACAAGATTTTTATGAAAAAATGATGGGAGTAAACCAGACGAGAAAAGTTGTTAGCATAATAGTAAGTTTACTGCCTTAAACAAGGTAAAGCGCAACCACGAAGAATATTATTTCATGCAGCGCGAACGTCTTTGATATATGGTAGTTATTTGTTCACCTCATCTAGAGTGAAACTTCATTTACAGTAACTCTTTGGCAGATTAATTATTCAAACACTGCGCTTTCATAACGATGATGCAACAATGCAGACTAAACATTTTACTGACGACAAGCGGTTTAGTATGGGATTACGACACATCGCAAAATAATAGAAATAGGAAGTATTTATCAGTTTGTGCAAAAAGGCGATAAGTAAATATGTATACAGAATTTGACGCATATAAATATCCAACTTTATTAAAGTCAAGATTGAAGTGTACTCAGCAACTGCATGTACACTCATGCAGTAGACAATAAGTCATACCTATTGTGTGAGGGCTAGTGATACTGCTATGGTGTCCAGACTTCGGTAGGTGAAGAGGAGGTTCAAACCCGTGCCGTATATGTTGAAGTCAAGTGACTAGACCGACGAGCCACAGCTCTTTATAATAGTGATAAAATCTATAAAAACACACCAAAAGAAAACTGCAACTATTAAGAAATATAGTGCATTATCAACAGTACGAAAGTACACGTATTTTAAAACATCAGATAATAAAAATCCTTACTCATGTTTCCCCATATGTGTAGGAACAACTTCGTAAGTTATTTTATAAAACTCATCATTTGTGTAAATACTTTTTTCACCATTATAAAATGTACCATTGCTCATCTGACTGCGACATGTTCCATTTCGCACTTCTCCCTACAAAATCCGTTTCAGAAAAACAAAATAATATAGTTTTCAATGAGATATATTCTAACAGCGGTTGGAAACTATTACTAATTGCTTTATTCCGTATGAGACAAAAGCGAATTATAACATAACTATAATGCTCTAAACTGGACATGCTAAACTAAATAAAAGAAAGTCTTTCAATAAAAATGAAACTGTAGCTGACGAGAAAACAAGCAGTTTCCTCGTAAAGTTTAAAACCTGAATACTTGATATGGACACAAAAAATATATTGTCATTACAAGAATTAGCCGGACAACAAATGTAGGCAATACTTAGTTAGAATATGGTTAAAAATCAAATACAAGTGCTTACACAAACTGCACCGGTGTGTACTTTTGCATAAATCACAATGTTTAATTGCCTGTATTAAGAAACGTTAGGGATTGAACACACACCAACTTCTTTGGTTTCCACATAAAACGCACTTAACTCTAACATCCGCCCTCGATTTGTTCTCCGTTTGATGAAAACATTCCATTCCACGAAGCAACGAGGGCCCGAAAACACAAACATGAGGTCACTAGCTGTGATTTTCATCATTAAACATATCCCCAATAACACGGGTATTTCACGAGACATAACTGGTGTTAAAACTGTTGACTCGCCAGTTCCCTACATGTGTCATAACTCCGTAAGTCAGTAACTCACAGGTTACTAGCAATGATCAATACCGAAGCTTCCATTTTCATATGCTTACAAACAGGTGATCCTAACTACTCGAAACAACCACGACAATCCACACAGAAACTGACACCCACAATATGAAACAGAATCTTCACATCCTAAAAAAGGAGAAATAAGCACCCAAACAGCATATGCAAGCTGAAGTTACAACATCTCCTGCAAAGCTTCATTTTTCTTCTGCTTCTTACATTTTTACACAAAGAAACAAACCAAAGTGAAGAGATGCACAAAAGTGCATCACTTCAAGTTACTACACCTTAAACCTCTATAATTATAGAGAGTGCGTCATATCAAAGTTCAGAAAGCGTGTGTGGAAGGGCAGACAGAAGAAACAAAGGAAGCTTATTGTAAATATTCAAACTTCTGAAGATGTCAGAAAATGTATAATGTACAGAACCACACAGTTGTGACCAACTTTCAGCCATATGACCAAGAGTTCACAGTCATTGATTCCTGACATCTCAAGCACCAAAGTCAGGCAGCCAACATTCTCCTACACGGCCTAGACCAATATTCAGAAACTTCATCGGCTGGTGACGTCTTGGATGGACTACCTTGAGCCTTCTCCCAGCCAAATTCTACCTTGACTAATAACGTTCAACATATGCAACACATCCCGAGCCACCCCAGTTGACAAAGCTTCACAACCTCATAGACCCACTTGTTTTCACCTAATACTTTACACCTAGACTCACGACTGCTCATGCGATAATTCCATCCAAAACGAGCGGTTTGCTGGGCAGCACACTCGTTCTCTAATAGGTAGTCGTAAGACTTCTCGCCCCTAATATACACTGGAATATTTAACGACGTAGACCATACTTCCGACTTTAATACACTGGCTGGTACCTCGTTTACCCTGATAAGTAGTTTTCTACCTCAGTTCTTAAAGTCTTCTGGTGGTAATACGTCACATCCTGCTGCTGTGCATCGTCTTCGATTTGAAACAGCCTTCTCAACTTCGAGGAGAGTTAGAGGACCGAAATCCATGTCCCATTCAGGTTTAAGTTGGACGATGGGAACTGGAAGTGGTTGTGAGCCTGTTGAACTGGTCGTCGAGGTATTTCGTCCAATGTCCCAGCCTCCAGTTCGGAGAGATTATTGCAGACCCATCTTTTTTGGCTATGGTTTGATCAACTATTGTTCCTCTGCTTCAGTTTCCCTGGTAGATCTAACTTACTACCACAGACTACCTAATGATGTGCTTATTATGTCTTCCACTGCAAAATTTTCGTCAGCTAACGTGTAAGCTACTCTCACTGCTCATCACTCGTATGTTGTGAAATCACGGTGCAGACAGTTTCGAGGTCAGTCTGGGCGTAGTAGGCAAGAAGGGCATGTCAGTCGATGAGGTAGTGAGTCTTCGGCAACTGAGGTGGCTTAGACGTGTGTTGCGTCACCTCGTCTGTAACGTAGAAGTGTGGCGTAGAGTTTTGGGCAGAAGAAGAAAGTCAGTTGAGGTTGTAAACCGTCATCGACTCACGTGTTACATATGCGTAATCATCGTCTTCCTCATCGCAGATTATTAGCTACAGTAGGTTAGAAGGGTAAAAGGTTCGAAAGAAATGCATTCAGCAACCTCTTGGACATTTATTCATGCAGTAGTCAATGAGCTACACTTATTGTATGAGAGCTAATGATACGATCTGGCTACCCAAACTTCGGTAAGTAGAGAGGTGTACGGAACTCACGACCCATTGGTTGAGCCATATCCCTAAGCCAATGAGCTACAGCCCCATAGAAAATGGTTACAGGTGGTCAGATCAGTTCGTGAAGTCTTTGACTGTTGATCTAAGCCTTTGAGAGAAACTTAAACTTCTCTGTTGGTGTCCACGTGATAACCAAACCGGTGCTTGGAGACTGGATGGTATGGCTCAGAATCGATCGTAATGGTGCAGTTGTATCTCTACATCATCTCAGTCGTCATACCGAATTTCAGACTTGTCTCACTCCTTGTTCTTTCTACACGACTTTGCCACTTCTGACTTCTTTCGTGTTTTTATCTTTCTTCATGGTGCCCCGATATCTGTCAACTTTGACCGTTACTAAGAAATGCCAGGTCCCATGTTGATATTGGCTGAATGACGGACGCATTCACTAAAATCTTTGAGGAATTGAATAAATGCTTTGGCCGTGATCCATTTCTCCTCCTTCCACCCGTATGTTTGTCAACTGTACTATGACGTTTACCTATTGTCTTCTAGCATGTTGCTATGATGTGTGGCAACTTGAACTGATGCACTTTTGTGTCACTCCACATATTGGTTTTGTTTTGTTTTTCAGTATGGGTCTGTAAAACATTTTCCTTATCGGACTTAAGCTAATGGTTAAGACAAACAAAGGGAGTCACATGTTTAGGTTGCCCAGAGCTCAATACGTGGAGCTGTGCATGAAACTATAACCCATTGGTGGGAAGTCGAGTGCTTAAACCAATGAAATAGCTGCACAGAAACATAGCTATGGGTTATACGAAATTTAGTTTCTAACTGATAATCACTCTACATATGTTCGTTATCTCTTCCCATCAGGCAACGCAAAATTATCCATGCAGGACTTTGATTAAATTATCATACAAATGCTCAGATGTTGCGAATTATCACTGTCATCTTTTAATAATGGATAACGAGAAGTAACTGAAAACAACCCACTTCTTATCCAGTGTGAAATACAAATATCAAAAATAATGAATAATCCATTACATGTCCTAGAGAAATTGAAGCCATCGGTGATGCGTATAGTAACACATATCAAGCCTGTTTCCATCCCCTCTTTCGCCTTGTAGTTGTTTTTTAAAAGTATCATTGAGGCGCATCAAGACAAATACAATCATTATGAAACGTTCACTAAGTGCACTGACCTGCTTACAGATGAAGAATACGTTTGTAATCAATGAATTCTTGGGGAAATAAAGGGTTGCTGTTACGGGTACATTACTCAGATTATCTACAATTACATAACAACGAATTAAGATATACCATCCAGGTTTTCTTGTGATAAATTGGCGCTTAAAATACCATTTGAAGAAGAAAATATACACACCTGACGGATCCTCCTCTGGTAAGAAATATACGTGGCACTAAAAGTATTGTGAAGATTGCAACAGGCTTACATTATTTCTGGAACGTCTGGAAACCAGTCCAAATGTAACTCTTCATGTTCGTTTTTCAGACAGCCGACCGCCATTTTATAAACCGTTCGCACAGAATACCACATAATGCTGGTCTGGGAAGAATTTCTTGCATAAAACTGGAAACTTACAAGCCTGCTCCAGAACATATTAAAGTAGTAGAAGTATTGGTCCACCTAGCGTAGGAAGTTTTACCAAATCTTGCCCTAAGTGATACTTCAACAATTAAACTTATGAAAATAACTAGCTTACTTTCATTGGAACACTGTTCGCTGTGCACTTGAAAGACAAAAGATAGGGCAATTACAACCAACAGAACTATCGCTGGCAGTGAATGGATCTTAACCGTCACCAAACCACTACTTGCGAGCAACACTACCCACGGGGTTAGGCAGGTATGTACATGGACGGAAGTGGACCGCTGAAGTGCCATTTTAAAACGTAACTACTCTCCAGAAAGCAATCTAAAAGACGAAAACTTGTCAGGTGATAACGGTCATAATTCACAGAAAAAGGCAAAATGCAAGCTTTAAATTAAAAGAGATATCACAATCAGGCTTTTTGATAATAACGCAAATCTCAAACATTAGTAGTAGGTCATCACGTCAAAACCTAAAGATGACTCCCTTTGTTTGTCTTAACCATTAGCTTAAGTCCGATAAGGAAAATGTTTTACAGACCCATACTGAAAAACAAAACAAAACCAATATGTGGAGTGACACAAAAGTGCATCAGTTCAAGTTGCCACACATCATAGCAACATGCTAGAAGACAATAGGTAAACGTCATAGTACAGTTGACAAACATACGGGTGGAAGGAGGAGAAATGGATCACGGCCAAAGCATTTATTCAATTCCTCAAAGATTTTAGTGAATGCGTCCGTCATTCAGCCAATATCAACATGGGACCTGGCATTTCTTAGTAACGGTCAAAGTTGACAGATATCGGGGCACCATGAAGAAAGATAAAAACACGAAAGAAGTCAGAAGTGGCAAAGTCGTGTAGAAAGAACAAGGAGTGAGACAAGTCTGAAATTCGGTATGACGACTGAGATGATGTAGAGATACAACTGCACCATTACGATCGATTCTGAGCCATACCATCCAGTCTCCAAGCACCGGTTTGGTTATCACGTGGACACCAACAGAGAAGTTTAAGTTTCTCTCAAAGGCTTAGATCAACAGTCAAAGACTTCACGAACTGATCTGACCACCTGTAACCATTTTCTATGGGGCTGTAGCTCATTGGCTTAGGGATATGGCTCAACCAATGGGTCGTGAGTTCCGTACACCTCTCTACTTACCGAAGTTTGGGTAGCCAGATCGTATCATTAGCTCTCATACAATAAGTGTAGCTCATTGACTACTGCATGAATGAATGTCCAAGAGGTTGCTGAATGCATTTCTTTCGAACCTTTTACCCTTCTAAACCTACTGTAGCTAATAATCTGCGATGAGGAAGACGATGATTACGCATATGTAACACGTGAGTCGATGACGGTTTACAACCTCAACTGACTTTCTTCTTCTGCCCAAAACTCTACGCCACACTTCTACGTTACAGACGAGGTGACGCAACACACGTCTAAGCCACCTCAGTTGCCGAAGACTCACTACCTCATCGACTGACATGCCCTTCTTGCCTACTACGCCCAGACTGACCTCGAAACTGTCTGCACCGTGATTTCACAACATACGAGTGATGAGCAGTGAGAGTAGCTTACACGTTAGCTGACGAAAATTTTGCAGTGGAAGACATAATAAGCACATCATTAGGTAGTCTGTGGTAGTAAGTTAGATCTACCAGGGAAACTGAAGCAGAGGAACAATAGTTGATCAAACCATAGCCAAAAAAGATGGGTCTGCAATAATCTCTCCGAACTGGAGGCTGGGACATTGGACGAAATACCTCGACGACCAGTTCAACAGGCTCACAACCACTTCCAGTTCCCCATCGTCCAACTTAAACCTGAATGGGACATGGATTTCGGTCCTCTAACTCTCCTCGAAGTTGAGAAGGCTGTTTCAAATCGAAGACGATGCACAGCAGCAGGATGTGACGTATTACCACCAGAAGACTTTAAGAACTGAGGTAGAAAACTACTTATCAGGGTAAACGAGGTACCAGCCAGTGTATTAAAGTCGGAAGTATGGTCTACGTCGTTAAATATTCCAGTGTATATTAGGGGCGAGAAGTCTTACGACTACCTATTAGAGAACGAGTGTGCTGCCCAGCAAACCGCTCGTTTTGGATGGAATTATCGCATGAGCAGTCGTGAGTCTAGGTGTAAAGTATTAGGTGAAAACAAGTGGGTCTATGAGGTTGTGAAGCTTTGTCAACTGGGGTGGCTCGGGATGTGTTGCATATGTTGAACGTTATTAGTCAAGGTAGAATTTGGCTGGGAGAAGGCTCAAGGTAGTCCATCCAAGACGTCACCAGCCGATGAAGTTTCTGAATATTGGTCTAGGCCGTGTAGGAGAATGTTGGCTGCCTGACTTTGGTGCTTGAGATGTCAGGAATCAATGACTGTGAACTCTTGGTCATATGGCTGAAAGTTGGTCACAACTGTGTGGTTCTGTACATTATACATTTTCTGACATCTTCAGAAGTTTGAATATTTACAATAAGCTTCCTTTGTTTCTTCTGTCTGCCCTTCCACACACGCTTTCTGAACTTTGATATGACGCACTCTCTATAATTATAGAGGTTTAAGGTGTAGTAACTTGAAGTGATGCACTTTTGTGCATCTCTTCACTTTGGTTTGTTTCTTTGTGTAAAAATGTAAGAAGCAGAAGAAAAATGAAGCTTTGCAGAAGGTGGTGTCACTTCATCTTAACAGAAGTTTCCACCTTAGCGCGCTGTTTGAAAAGGGGGTGACTTTTCATATTCACATAGATTCTTGTTATTTTTTGTATTTATACACTAAAGGCTATTGTGTTTTTGCTCTATTCGAAATATTATTCAACTTGTGCTTAATGGTGAGGCAAAAGTGTCGTAAAAATGCTTGTGGTAGGGCGGGGTGCCACTTTGCAGTGGCCTCTGGTATGCAGTGTAGCGAATGTAAGAGTTGGTTTCACGATAACTATAGAAGCCTCACACCCTCAGCATTCAACAGGTACAGAAACGCTGGAAGTGTCTCACTTTCTACGTTGTGCTGCTCGGATATTCGCACTCTGGTAGAAAAAGCAAAAACACTTTCAAATACGATAACCGAGAAACTGTCGTCGAAAGTCAAAGCTGATAACTGTGACAGTGATAACGACACAGCATCCATTGACACAGATCGCTGTCTAAAATTTTAAGAACGTCCCACAACAAGCTTTAAGTTGGGCGCGTAGACTACCTACTGGGTTTACTGACAACTACTTGGAAGAAACTACACAAAGCAGGGTGAAGCGAGGATCTGGATCTCCCATCCCCAGGGCTGGCAGACCCAGTCTGAAAACTGCTGGCCGTACGATTAGCTATACTTCAAATGAAAGAAACAGGAGTGAAGCGCTCTCAGTTCCAACGACAGGACCATGCAGGCCGCAGGTCATACCCAGTTCGGCGACCCAATCATTGATGAAAACCATACAGAATGGGGTGCAAGTCCATCTTGAGGCTCTCAGCGTCAGGGTCACTGGACTAGGCTTCAGCAAACCTTGCACACCAGTCTCTGAAAAATGGCAAGTAACTAAGCCTAAACGGCATGCTAAGCCAATAACGGTAGCCGAGCCAGCTATCATCACTTCACATAGCAAAGACAAAGTAGAGCTCCTTGACAGGTCCGTAATTTTCCAGAGTGGAAGAAAGTAGAGACCCAGAACCACGTAAACGTTTCCAACATGACCTTGGCAAGGTACAAAGTTTGATAAAACAGCTTTTACCAGAAAACACGCCAGAAGTCAACCTACTCAAAATATATAGAGTAGGAAAATAGGAAACAGTCATTTCTGAAAATAAGTCTCGGCTACTTAAAGTCGTGTTCAAGTCAGGAGAGGAATCAGATTCTGAAGAATGCTCACAAGCTTCAAGGATCTGGAGTGTTCGTGCGAAAGGATCTGGCTCTTGCTGATCGAATCAAAAAACGAGAAGCAGAAGCAGAACTAAAATCTAGATTAGCAGCTGGTGAGCAAGGTCCGAAATTAGTGGGTTTTCGTGTACTGGGGTTTCGGAACAAATGATACCGAAGCCTCTGTGGATAGGGCGGAAACTCATTTGAGTAGTTTCGCTGTCTTGTACACAAATGCACGTAGTCTTTCAAGCAAGTGGACTGAGCTTAGTAGTGTGATAAGCAACGAAAGCCCTGACACCATTGCTATCTCAAAAACTTGGCTCTCTTCTTGGATCAGTGACCGTGAAACACACTTAAGAGGATTCGACCCTTTTAGAAGTGACAGGTTACCACGCAAAGGTGGTGATATCATCCTTCACGTTAAGAATATCTTAGTTGTAAAAGCCATAGAAACAGTTGCACATGTAAGTCGGATATGTGAAATGCTGTGCTGCCGACTAAAATGCAAGGGACAAGATGTTAACGTAATCGTAATATATCGAAGCCCTGAATGTGAGGCAGCAGACTTTCTCCTGAATAAGCTGACCTTCTGGACAGATAAATGCCGATGTCTAGTTGTAAGAGATTTCAACACACCATCAGTTGACTGGGATACACTAACAACAAAAGCACCACGTAATTCGTTGGACCACAGGTTAGTGAAAACTTCAATTCCCTTAGCCCTTATACGGCACATTAGGACACCAACCAGATATAATCATCAGCATGCTCCATCAGTTCTAGACTTAGTATTCTCACATAAATATGATGTGTGCTTCATTCGGCACCTAGCACCCCTTGGCAAAAGTGATTACGCTGTGATCATTTACAGATTCACAGAAGACGTACAAGGCCCATGCCCCAGCTAGACCCAACATATGGAAAGCGAATATGGAAGCTATCAACCTGGTAGCCTCTTCGGAGGACTGGACAGTTATTCCAGAAGCCTCGGTTGAAGATGCGTGGTGTTCCTTCAAACAGTTATATGCACGAGTGACCCAACCGTTTATTCCGTAGACTGTCTCGAGGGGACGGAAACACTTTCCTCCGTGGATAAACCACGAAATCCAAATCTTGCAGTGACATAAAAAAGGTGTTGGAGTCTTGCCACC